TTTTTTTTTTTTTTTTTTTTTTTTTTTTTTTTTTAGGCAGTATCAACCTGCAGAAGCAATTTCAGTTACTAGGTGAGACGCATTGGGTTCTCCCATCCGCAGACTTTGTTAGGAAATGGAGCAAAAAAGTGCTGCATCTGTAACCCAGGCTCCAGGATATATTAGGTTGTTATCTTGTTATCTAGTCGTTCTTGTTCTCCGATGCATAGAGTTAATTAAGGACTCTGGAGAGAATATTGCAGCTCCAGCCCCTGGGGTCTTTTACTGCAGAAACATTAACAAGCTCTAACATTAACACACCAGTTCTCTTCCTTGTTAGCCTCTCTTCTGCTCACGTTCAGAAGGGGGAATGCCTCTGAAACTCCTAATTAAAATCAAGGGATCCAAGGGGGTTTCTCTAGCTCAGGTTAGGAAATTGGAAGCTAGCACTCCATTTACAGCCTGCTACTTCTCTTAACTTTCCATTTAAGGAAAGTAAGAGTGAGGTAAGCGGAGAAAGAGAGGAATGGCAAAAGGAGCAAAACAAATCTATTTCTATCAACTGCAGAGATTGTAGGTTTTTCTCCTCCCCCCAATGCAACAACTCACCATTTAATTAGGGCAGTTAACCACGCTTTTCATTTGTGGCAGCCAGTCCCAAAGGGATCCTGGTGCAGTGAAAACGCCTTACCAGATTCTAGCAACATCTTGATCCCTCACCATCTGTATCAACACGCTCTGATGTTCTTCCTCAAGACTTAGAATAATGGAAAATTCTATAAATTATGCCCTCCTCCTCCAGTCCCTTCTGGCAACTTTTTGCATCATGTTTCAAAGGAGCAGGCAGTCTGAGAATGAGGTCTGCAGTCCAAAAATACTGCTAACGTGGAGATTTTCTTTAATTTTAACTGGGGCTTGAGCAGAGGAGTTGGATAATTAATGAAGTCATATTTTACCCTGGCTCTGAGCTGGACAGAAAATAGATTTTCTATCCCACAAACGATGTTGAGTTAGTTTTTAATCTCAATTTGGGATTAAAAAAAAATCAGTGTTTTGAATGTTTTTCAAAGTTGAATGACAACATTCAGTTTGGACTGAACAAAACATTTAAATCTAGTTTATTTGAACCACTTGGTCTTGGTCCTTTTTCTATCAAATACATTTTGAAACCAAAAAAGTCATTTCAAAATAAAACATAGAAACTCCTCATCCTGAAAATATCAAAATTGACTGTATGAGAAATTTTAAAATGTTTTCTCATATTTTTTGTTCACCCAAAGTAGAACTGGGAAAATTGTAATTAAAAAAAAATTTCATTGATCCAAATTTTTCTAATGGACATTTTTAGTCAAAATTAGATTTCTGAGTAGATTAACGCTGAACACAGTACCCGTGACTTAATAAAAGTGTCTTCTGTCTTAGTACACACACACTGCCCTGTGTGTAAAAGCCAGATCAAATCAAAGGTGAAGATGTTACTTTCTTGAAGTAGGAAGGCAAGGAACCTCCCCCCACTTCCCCCCAAAAATATGATATAAGTTTAAACAACACTTTGATATTGCTGTCAGTGCAGAGGCTTCAGAGAAAGCACCATGACTTCAAGTGATGTTCAGGGGGAGTTCAATGGGATACTTAGCACCTTTGAAAAACAGGCCATTAAAACATAAGCAGTCCATATATCTATGAGACAGGGCTTCCCGGTATTGAACTAGTCAATGTATGTGATTCAGCTGCAGGCTTGTGTGCTGTAAAATAAATGTTTCTAGAAGCCTGAGCAGAGTCCCGATGCACTGAGCACTTATGCAGGGACTAAAAGTACGAGGCTAACCTCCTTTCGTTCTGGACTGCTGGGTACCAGGTGAACATCTCAGTGTCAAATGACGGGAATTGCCCTAAGAGTGGTGACGTGTGCTTTTCCTTCTCCCCTTTCTCCATGGATACGTTAGGAAAAGAGCAACTGTTCTAAGGGGCTGACTTAACCGTTCCAATAAACAACCCCAGATCTTTATCCATATATATTAGGTTGCAGGGGAGTGGAAGACTGAAATTTTGAAAAATTTTCCCCCCAGCTCATCTACTGACTGTCTCTAACAGCATGGAAGTCACTTTACCTTTCTGTGTCTAATAGAAAGAGTACCACTAACCTACCTCTGAGAGCTGGGGTAAGGCTTGTGGTCAAAATGTTATGGGTGAGCAGGGAGGTTTAGAAAGTGTCCAGCCCCTTAAAAGCTGATTTTTTTTCCGTGGCCATTCTCATGGGGATAGAGCTCTCCTGGGAGGAATTCTCTCTCATCTGCTTGTTTTCACTTCCATGCATCTTCTTTCTCTCTCCATCTCTTAACTCTCTCTCACTGAAGTGGGATTCTTTCAGTAAGTTAACCACTGGATTGCATTGCATACACTATTGTTGCTGTAACCTTTGGCGTGCTGAAGGAGCAAAGTCTAAACAAAGTGCTGTTTCACACAATTGAACACACAACATTTTTGTGGCTTTGCCAGCATTTGATATTGTTTGAATTATATGGGGAGGAAATTCTTGGCTTTGATTTCCTTATCCTTCCTGCATGTCGGGCATTGAAAGGAACTCCTTGCCTTTGTTTTGAAAGGCATTCCTTAAGGATGCACTGGTTTATTTTAGCTCTGTGATGATTAGACTAAGCATTAGGTGGTAGAGTGAGTTATAACACACATCCTTTGTCCTTCTGGACTTGGAATCAGATCTTTATTCCAGTAACAAGTTAAATAAAAGTGGTGATCTTGGATCTTTTGAGTGTTTGTAGGGTGACAGATGGGGTGGTGTAGGCTTCAGTGCAGATAAGCAAGCCTTATGAATATACTATGCATACTCAGGTTCCCTGGTAGGCTTTTTATAGCCCTTATTGATGTTCATGCTACCATGCCTACATTGCTATTGTTATCTGTATGAGCTAGATGAAAGTAGCACACATATGCCTATGAAGGCTGTACTCATGCCTCCCAACTGCAGCAGTCAAACCTCAGATAAAAGGCTATGGTTACATTGTCAAAAACATATCAGTGACCTGTTTTGATAAGGGGTTTAACTGCTTAGGAGTCTAAGGCCTTTTATACACATAAATGCTGTAGTGCTTTAACTACTAGTAAAGATAAAGTGGTACAACCCTCCTAGTGTGGATGCAGTTGTTCTGGTTTAAATTGATTTGTACCTGTAGAGTTTATAGGAAGAGGAATAAGCTATTCCGCTTTATGCTGGCATGCCATCCATATGCCTGTTACCTATGTTTACTGTCAGGGATGGGCTAGGGCTGTGGGACTGTCTTCACGTAATCCTGCTTCTGTTAAAGCATGTTGTACCCAAGGAGGCTGTAGAAAAAGGCTGCAATCATGTTTAGGAGAGCACAGGGGCTGCAGTTCTGGTTAGCTCCCATGACAGGACACATGCAGATTGATGGCTCATTGCATCTTTGCAAACCCCACTCACAGCCAGGATACTTTATCCTATGAGCTGTGGCAGTTTCCTACCTAAACCAATCTGTAGCCTATTAAAGGATCCCAAATATCTTTAGTAAAGTGTTTAGCTTTATTAAAGAAAGAAAAGATTTCCAGGGACAGGTAGGAATCAAAATAGAAGTGTAACCAGCTTCCAGACAGCTCTCTCCCTGAATGAAATTCCCCATGTGCAGTGGGTCCCAAATACAACTAATGCAAACCTATGCAAAAACTCCCTAGTCATGATCAGAGCTTGGTAGCTTGCTTGTATTGTATGGATCCTTAGAAATATAGAGGCTTGTTTGATTTGGCTTCATTTTAAGAAGTTTCTGAACTTTGTATGAAAGCTGAGGAGCTGGGAAATCACAAGATTGCCTAGGAAGAAGAAATCAGTCTTTACAGTACAATGCTAAGGGTATCAGTCACCCTGGAGGGCTCTGCTGCTAGTGATCCTTTAATACTCCAGGTACAGACATGTTAAAAATCCAAGGACTCTGTGCCAAAATAATATGCGTAGCACAGTCTCATTGACTTTGTTACACTCGTGATGAATTAGGCCCAGGGACTCTAATCATAGATAAAGTCATGTAGTGATGGGGGAAGTGTTGCCTGTGGACGTCATGATCCTTAGGCAAAATTCGGAAAAATCCTCGCTGACACTGTACTATTATGTTTTTCCAGTTAAAGGTAGGAAATGGAAATCTGTGCAAGCAGCACTCTACTCTCAGTGGGAAAATGCAAAGGACGTCTTTTTAATGTTCATGTATATGGTCCCCTCTATGTGACTAGGAATTGATATTGATAAGTACTGAATAGGATAGGGGGTTCATAGCTCATTGTCTGGAAAGATAGTGGTAGGATGGTGGCAATTCAAAGGTATTGCAGGGTATCTGGAGCTGAAGGAGAAGAAAGGAGAAATAGTTTACTGTGCTTGGGATAAAAGAGTTCTCCAAGTCTGTTAGCTGGGAACAGTCCTACGTATCATGGTTGTCTCCATGTTGTAGCCTCAGTGTAGAAAACAGCTGTACAGAACAGTTAACACCCTCACGAATGAGGGAAGAGGAGTGTGTGATTGGAGCTAGTCCTGGCTGTTTCTCCTTTCTGTACCATTTCATTAGGGACAAAAGGAAGAGCGGTTTCTTGTGTGAGCAGTGGTGGTAGTAATTGGGTTGCCTGTACACATAAAGCAAGGGCCTGATCATTCTGGCAGATGCATCATCAGTGCTGCTAAAGACAGGTGAAGGGGAAGTTCTTTGACTGTTCTAGTGCTCCAGCCAGGACATGGGTCTCACATGGTTGTAGAGGGTTAGAACTGGATATGAAGTCCTGGTATGGGATAGTGCTAAGAGAGATCAGACCTGTTCAGCAGGACAAGACATTGGCTTCAAGGATGGCAGTATAAATGCTGGCAAATCGTAATCTGGGAGCACTGGAGTAAGCCCTCCAGCTCAGAAGCATTCCAGAAAAGATGCCGCCATTCCTAAGGGGAAGGTGTTTCTCACAAACCAGCACACAAAAGGTTAACATTTGAAAACATATTGTAATCTTGGCATTTTAAGAATAAAGAATTTGAATAATAATAGAAGGAGAAGGAAAGTGGGTGGGGGTGGGGGAGAGATACTGACTGGCACTGATGGCAACTCCGCTTCTCTCCTCAGCGCCTTGTGCGGATGAACATGCCGATCTCGGACCAGGACTTAACGGTCCATTTCACATCCACCCTCATGGCCTTGATTCGGACAGCTCTAGAGATCAAACTTGCTTCAGGTAGGAGGGGAGATGAGACAGAGTTATGATGCCTGAACATGTGTGAGCTCATAAACTAGGGACTTCACTGCTGGTCTTTAGAGAGGACCAGGTAGGTTTCCTATGCCAAAAAACCCTTGACGCGATAAGGGAGGGTATCTGAATCTGAAAGAAACTGGGAGGATCTTTCAGAAGATCCATCCCCTTTCCTACCTCCCCCAAGAGCACATGAACCGATTGATATAGTCTTGAACTAGATGATGCCCAGCTTAGCTCTGACCTTGACGTGTTGACCTTGGACAAGGTGCTTCATCTCTCTGTGCCCCTAATGAGAATATTATTTCTCTACTTGGGTTCATGGCTTTGAGATTAAAAAAAACCATCATGTAAGTCCAAAGTGGTGTTATTAAAACAACCTAGTCATGCTCTTCAGGATTTGTCACTTTACACATGCCAGTAGGAAAGAAAAAAAAACTCTTCCTGATAATGATCCTCTCTGCTGGTACTGGAAGCCATGACTCTGAGAGGCCAAAGCTGTGTTATGCCCCAAGGAAAAAAAATTAATTATTTCAGTGCTTAATCAGGCAGATACTTGACTACCCAATTAAACAACACAATGCAATAAAATACATCAGGTTTTACTTTGGATCATTAGACCTTTTAATCAGCCTTCAAAGCCATGGCTGCTGCTAGGACTAGAACCAGAGCAGAAATTGCCATTATACAGTCATGTATAATTTAAAAATGAAGGGAGACAGAAATGTTCATGTGGTTAAGGTGCAGGACTGGAAGCTGGAATGTCAGGAACTGAATCCACTTAACCTCTCTGTGGTCATTGCTTCAGAAATGTTCTTTAACCTCTTTAGGTGAGCACTGCTAGAGGGAGGCAAAGGAGTATGCTTCAGGGGAGTTGGACTGAATCTGACCTGCTAACTTTGAAGCATACAGTTTAGGATGGTCTCATTTCTAAGGGTTAACATCCTCCATCCCTAATATCCCTGCATGCAAAGGGGTCTTTTAAGCCCTGAGAGTCTGTGTCATTTTATTACACTTGCTGCATTTCAGTGATGCTAATTTGGTTGGATTCATCTTACTGGAGATGTCTGTTCTTGTGAGGTTTTTGGCCACATATAACGAAAAAAAAAAGCAGTGCTTCCATAGAGGCAAGTTTGCTTCTGGGAATTTTGAGGGTATATGGGTAGAGGTAAAAGGGGTTTGATTTGAGGGTCTTGCTTTAGCTTACCTCTTCCTTACATGGCTGGATTGGACTTTTTCCATTCTTTCTGATAACTTTAATTGAGAGTAGTTGGTTGGGCTAATGTTCCCGTAATGAACTCTCCCCAGTGAAATGCAACATGGCACAACATATCATGGCACTATAACAGATAACAGCCTCCTCACCTCACTTTTTCTCTAAGAAGAATCATCACTATCATTTATGTACTCCACTTAGTTTCATACTGGGCGTGTCTACACGTGCATTTATTGCACAATAAGCAGTTTTTATACCAACATCTACATGTGCAGGTGTTACAGCTCAGTAATGCTCTGTGGACTGACTTGGGAATAAAGTTAACCCTAAATCACTCAGATAGATGCCTACATGTGCCTTACTACCCAGTAACTAATCAGGTATAAATTTGCTACCTGCATCATGCAGATAGCAAATTTATGCCCAAGTCAGTGTAAGTTGCCATAGTTACTGCGCAGTAATTTTTGTTTGCTGCACAGTAACCTAAATTACTATACAGTAACTGTGCGTGAGTAGACGCTCCTACTGTGTAGTGTATTCATTTGGGAAGCAGACTATTGTCTCATAAATATTTTACTCACTCTGCGTAATGAGAACCCACTTCAGCCTTTTAAATGATGCTGCTGTGTTTGGCTGTTTAATATTTTGCTTGGTTTTATAGCTTCCATTTGATTATATTGTTATATAATGGTATGTAAGGTGTATGAAGAAGGACATAGTCCCAGTTTAAGGGTAACAGTGACAGTGCATGTTGCTTAAGGACCTCAGAACAAACTGGTCCCTGAGGTTTCATATTGGTCAGACCACGTCCTGTAACCCCTATTCATATCCACTACTGGACCCCGCCCTGAACTAGTAGGATGTGAAGAAGGCTGGGCAGATGGGCCTGGAAAAGAGAGGGTTGCCTGCACACTTGTTAATGGATAGCCATTTTTACTCAGCTTGACTTTCCTTTTTTTCTCTCCTGCCCAGGAGGGGTGAAACAGCACCAGTGCGATGCTGAACTAAGGAAAGAGATCTCACTGGTTTGGCCTAATCTGTCCCAAAAGACACTGGATCTGTTGGTGCCTCCTCATAAACGTAAGTGGCACACACCTGTATGTGTTTCCTTTAGAAGCAACACAGAGACCAGATCCCTAAGAATCATTTGAAATACCTGAAAAAATCCAGCGTAAGTTCTTCCCTTCCAATGGGATGAGCCTATTGTCCTGTCTATGTACAGCTGTTTCTACAGTACAGGAACCCAAAGAACATTTTAATTTCTATGTAGAGCCTCATGTTTCACCTCCACAATGCCCATAGTCCAGAGACTCATTCAACTGTCATCCAAGTAGTAAGCAACCCAGAGTCGGTAATATCCTAGTACCTAATACCCAAGGCAGCAGAGACCTTGCTTTGTGGAAAAATAAAATGCAGAGCAGCAAGGAGAAAGCAATGTCAGGTCCCACCTCTTTCAAAGAGCTTGCTTTGTTACACAGCTTTATCTGTTTCCACTTTATCTGGTTTAAGGGACCAGATTTTCTACCAGCTGGGCTCTGTCTGCCTCCAAAACAAGAAAAAGAATAGGTTAAAAGCTCCAATGAATCCATGTAATATGCCCTAACAATGGCCTGTGCTTGTGGGAACACACTGAGAAAATTGAAAGTTAGGAATTCTCTAGACTGGCAAAAGGGAGGACTCAGAGTCCCCTGGATTTCTGATTAATGAGAAACAGCTCCTTGTACTCCGGGCATGGTTCGCTGAGAAAAGGATGGAAGTGTGGGGATGCACACAAGGGGGTAGTGACTACCTAACCCTGCCTTTCAGCCCATGTTTTCATGTCTGGCACTTTATAACCCTGTTCTGGAAGGCGTGTGCTATGCTGTACCGGGGGAGAGATCAGCAGTATAATTGTTTTTTGGTTTTTTTTTATAAAGGGGGGGAGGGCCATCTGGAAAAATGCAATACAATTTAAATTTATATTAGCCCATTATCCCCCTGCTGACCATAAGTTAAAGAGAGAAAAATAGGGCCTCTCTGTTGATAAAACTACTGGTTGCAGATCTGGTATTAATTTAAATGTTCTTCTGTCTCCCATTCCTACGGTTTAATTGTCAAGGGCCCTTTTCCTGTAAAAAGTCTATAAATATTTTCCCTGGAGCACTAGGCCATAGGGCACTTAAAGCCATGACCTCCACACAAGCAGAGAGAGAGGAAAGGTAATAACAGTCAAGGATGGGGTGAAGGGGAAAGCACTGTCTGAAGAAATCTGTTCTAACCACTTCTCTTTCTCTCTCTTCTTCCCCTAATGGGACATCTTGTGGTCCTTTTCACATTTTTTTTATATCTGTTGCACATTCCTCCATTTAATTAATTTCTTTCCTTTTCTTCCGTTTATTCTGACACTGTTCCTTCTTTCATTCTCCACCTATCCTCCGGCAAACCTTCCCTGCTCTATATGAAACTCCCCCACTGCATTTCCTCTTCTGTTTCCTAATCCAGCTGATGAAATGACCGTGGGGAAAGTCTATGCAGCACTCATGATATTTGATTTCTACAAGCAGAATAAAAACAGCAGGGAGCAAGTGCATCAACCACCTGGAGGCCTTTGCCAGGTACTCAGCTGAAAGATGGTGTTCCTGGGTTCTTTCTACTAGCAATCTCAGCAATCAGAGGGTTGGAAGGGATCTCAAGGATCATCTAGCCTGGTCCTGAATTAGCAAACCTCTGACAATTCAGGGATTTCATTCCGTCCGACACCTGGCAGTCTGGTTGCCTCTCCAAACAATTTGAATTGTCAGTGTCTTGTCAACTAAAAACTGTGCTGCACAAGCTACAACGAAAGACCTTCTTGGGTAGTTTATGGCGCTTCTTCATTCCAGCGGTGCTGAAAATAATTAGGGTAAAACTTCCAGAATCTTCTAATGGTAAGCCTATATGTATGGCACAAATCAGCACCATTCAGAGATGCCCTATGGTAGCTCTGCTCTCGCCATCTCTGGAGCTGAAAGGAATATGGCCACCTTAGGGCAGGCCATATGTGGCCTAATAACTTTTGCCAGTTGGAGAGCTAGCACAGTGTTATATCTCTGTACCGCGCTGCCTTGTACCACATGGACATACTCTAAAGGAGTTAGGTTCCTAAGGCTAGGATCAGATGTATTCATTTGTCCCAGGACACGTTGTGCCTGTGTTTGTCTCAGAAAAGAAGAGTCCTTGGATTGATGTATACACATCTCTCTTCCAATCAGGTTTTAATGAAGGGCTGAATGCACTCTCACTTTTCTTCTATTGATTCAGTCCCAGGAAAACCATTCAGACATATTTTCTGATGCCCCAGGACAAGCTGTTAGCACTTCTCATCCCATGAGCCTTTCCAGGGTTTGTCTCAGGATAACTTTGGAACAATTGCACGTTGTCCTGGGATAAACTGGTTTCTCAGGGGACAAATGTGATGACTGTTTGTAGCTTAAGCCTAAGTGCTATTTCAAAAGTGACTTAGGTGTTTAGAAAACTAAGCCCTATTGAAAGCCAGTGATAATTGGGCTTCAAAATTACTTTGATACTTCAAAAAAAAAAATTACTCCTTCAAAATCTCTCCACCTCCTACCCTAGTTAACCTGACAGTGCAGAGGAGCACATGAATTTAAACCATGGATGATAGCTGTGCAAACTTTGAAAGATGTTTAGGGCAAAATTTTGGACTGATTCTTATTGTATTCAAGGCTGCCTTGTTTATAACCTTTGTTATTAGCACTGTTATTGCTGCAGTTAGCTCCTCAGACCTCGCAAACATAGCACATTGCTACTATGAGTACTGGGCCAAATCCTCCAGTTCCCATTAAGCTTAGTAGAACTTGTGACTAAATAAGAGCTACAAGAATGAGCCACATGATATATCCACTTGCATATTTTAGGGGCTTGTATGTACAGGGTAAAATCTTAGTTCCATAAAGTTTGTGGCAAAACTCCCAATGAATGTAATGAGTCCAGGTTTGTACCCACAAAATATAATATGGTCAATAGGTCAGTCAGGTAACTGCTAGCCAGGTTGATGAATAAACATCATGGGTATCATAAAGCCCTAAATCAAAAAAAGGGCTTGGGATTGGAACCCTAGGAACTTGTGAACTAGCAGGCTCTTTCTGGACTTTAGGATGGCCTTGTGCAGCTGAGTATCCATGCAGCTAACAGCCTGTATTTACCAATGGAGACACTTCCCCTGAAGAAGGCGGTTTGAGGGCATTGCAGTACATGACTCAGGGCCACCATCTAAAACCTGAATTAGCCCCTGACCCAAAAGACTTCACCATTTTAATATGTGTAATCCAAATATTGAATTTGTAACTAGTCCCATGAGTCCCAAAGGGTCTGGCTCCTTTGTTGTACTATGCCAGCCAACCTGAAAGGGGAAGGGAACTATTATGAATTAAATTTAGTGCTGGGGGAAGACATGGGCTTTATATCCCTGGAGACTGATGTCTTCTTTTCATCACAGAATGAGTACAGCAAAGAGAGTGGCTATATAGCTTTCTTTATACTTTTCTTGCCCCTAGGCTCTTCTGTGATGCATTGGGACAACATGTAAGGACTGAAGGGCGGTCCAGTCATTGTGATCCCAGGAGGCTTTGTCTGCACTGCAATGGAAAGTCTGTAGCACAAGTAGACAGACCCATGTTTTCTTTAATCCAGCTATCATGGGTAACAATAGCATTGAGGATGCAGCAGCATGGGCTTCAGCTGTACAAGCCTACCAGGGATGCTTGGGTTTGTGCTCAGGTGGCTGTCTTACACTAAAGTCCATATTGCCACATCTCCACTGTTGTTATTACTAACAGAAACCAGATTAAAGCTAGTGAAAGTGTGTTTGCATGTGTTGCAATCCCACCTTTAATGGCTGATGAAGATGGCAGCCTGTAACAGAGTGAAGAACTAGCTAGTGCCAATTGCAGTTTCAGGAAGGCTTTTTGAGGACGTGGATCACAGCTTGACTAGAAAAGGTGGTGCAGGGTGTTCTCTAAGCAGATATATCTTTCTCACTGTTGCTTTTCCTTTGTGCACTGCAGACTGGACCAGTGTCACTGTTTCACCCTTTGAAAGCCACGCTTGAGCAAACCCAGCCTCCAGCATTCAACAATGCTAAAGCCTTCCTTCGTCAGAAAAGTTCAGCATCACTTAACAACGGGGGCACGTTGTGAGTATCCTGGGCCTTCCTACCATTAGAGTTCTCTGAGCCCCCTTAGGCATGTTGCACTTAGGAATGTCCCATTGTCCAAAGGTTAAGATGTGTGTTCAGATGACAGAGATTGGCAGCTACTTTAAAAAAAAAAAGCCCAATTAATGCTCATAGTTTCCAGAGATTAATTAGGCCAAGGAACAGCCTCATATATGGTACCACTTGATGTCACCGGGAGTTTCCGTGCATGTTTCTAAGGACTGAATCCCTTCTGTAAAAAGCCACTGCAGTCTGTTATGCAAATTGCAACCCAAAGACTGATTACAACAGTCCCCAAATGCCCTTCCTATTTTCTGCTCTCTGTATATATTATGTTCTTCTAGGTCACTAGTGCTATGGCTGTGTAATTATAGATATGAGAGAGATAAATATGATAATAAACTATGAAGTGAAAATAAAAAGGTAAGAAATCTTGAACTGTAAAAACGCAAGGCTAAATTTTCCCCTGATACTGCTGCATTTATTTCATTTGACTTATAAGTTAGATGAACTTAGCCAATAATATTTACAGTTCTTTACCTAACCAGTCATGGTCATACAACTTTGCTCAGTCTGGCACGCACAGACTAGCTTTTAAATCAAACTTTTCATCCTCTACATTACTTTTGTGTGTTTATATGTCTTTGCCTGCCAGTACCAATCTCTACCAGGACTTCCAGTCTTTTGTGAAAAATATCCATTTAACAACATCAGCACTCCAAAAAAGTTCAGCGGTCTATACCAGTTGTAAAGCTACATTACCTAAGGCACTGAAGAAAAGTTATTACTCTCCCTTCTGTGTAGGCTGGTTTTGTCTCCTTGCTCTTCATGACTTCCTGAGGAAGATCACTGTCAACACTCAGGAGCCTTTCAGGTTTCTGACTTTGCCAGCCGCTGCCCCCACCAAGTGGTTCTTCCACACGACTGGAAGTGAATCCCTCAGGCTGCTCCAAAGCACTTTGGCATTGTCATCTGCTTAAATCTAACTAAATCTAAATCTACCCAGCTGTTCACCCTTTCTCTTTGCCTGGTAACAGGCCAGCTCCAGAGGGTGGGATCAAGGAGTCCAGTTCATGGGGGACTCAGCGCACGCAGGACATATTTTACGAAACCAGGACACCGGCTTTTGAGCGAGGCCACTCAGAAGAAATTCCCATTGAACGGACAAGCAAACAGGTGATGACAGATCAGGATGCAGTAGGTCCCTGTGTTACTCCTAGGGCCCCATTTGTATTAAGGTCTAGGGCTGGGCACTGTTCTGTTGCAACCAGTCAGTCCTGTTGGCTGCAGAAGATTAAGAGCTGAATTCAACCCACTTTTCTCTGTGCTGCTTTATTTGACAGCTGCGTATTGTGGGTGTTTGGCTCATTCAGGCTTATTCCTAATGGAAGCACGGGGGCAGGGAAAGGATGGCTAAGCTTGCTGGACTGGGAGACAGGACACCTGGGTTTAGCTTTTAGTTCAGCCACAAGCTTCCTTCCTGTGAGACCTTGGGAAATCACTGCTCCCTGTCTGTTAAACAGTGCCCTACCTCATGTTGCTTTTGTGAGGCTAAAATCCATCAGTAACTTCAGAGCACTGAGATACTACAGTGATGAGAGCTGCTTAGGCACACAGATAGAAAGATGTTATCTGAGAATAGGAAGTATGCAGAAAGGGACCTTCAGATTGGTGTCTCCTTACAAGGCAACGTTGGTATCAGATGTGGTGAAGTAGTGCATCATGAATCTTCTCTTTCCAGTGCTGCCAGTCAGAGTCCCCACTGGGGGCTTAAGCTGATAATGTAGAAACTTTCAAGGCCTTAATGTCATTGGCTGTGGGAGCAGCTCTGTCTTCTGGGAGCAGTCATTCAGCTGAAAGCTAGGGAGAAAAAGAAAAGTTTGATGCTATCCTGGCATCCCAGATATACACAGGTCACCTGTCAGATGCCTGGGCAGTGGTTAAGATGGGGATCTGTGAATGCTCCTCCTGTAATGAGTGTCATTTTCACAGCAAAACTTTTCAAAAGGCGGATTCCAGCTGGGGAAATCAGTCAACCCGAGGAAATCAAAAACCAAATGTGTGTTTACAAGATCATGTAGCTTGTGGGATGTGTTTTTGGAGTCTTTTAACCCTGGGTCCACCTGTTCAAATCTAACTTAAGCCAATAGTTACTGTAAGTGAGTGCCACCTGATGGCTCTTCAGTGACATGCCTGAATGAGCTTTTGGGTCTTAGACACACGGTTGCCCATGGATGAAGGATCATATTGTACAACTCATGACCACAGTTAGCAACAATAGATCATTGGCCACATGGATTGTCAAACTTATTCCAAAATAAGTACATCCACATGTGGAATTATACAGGAATAGTTATTTAGAGTCACATATTCCTGAATAGCAACTCAGAAATAACTGCAGCTGTAGACAAGCCCCTGGGTCAGAATTAAGGCTCATAGACAGGGCAGTGTCAGCAGTTTGGAACCCATGCTAGACATGTTCTGCAGTTCAGAAGTAACCTCTAAGGCTCAAGAGCTGTTGGGCAGTACTTTTTACTAGTTGTATGTCTTCAGAAATAAATTAAAACCCCTGCAATTTGACCTAGGCATGGAACAAGCCCATTAGGTCAGTGGTCTTCTCCTTACAGCTTACATTGACACTACTGAAAATATTTCTTAATTTATTCAGGTTGTAGAAATGAGAGAAATCAGCCCCACCTTGGCCAATGGAGAGCACCAACCTGGCCTGGAGAGCCAGGGACGGGCGGCTTCCATGCCACGTCTGGCTGCCGAAACTCAGGTGAGCGAGAGAGGCTTTACTGGCAATGGAAGACTTACAGTAAGTTAAGAATTCAACACATTCTCTCTTCTTGTTGTCCTGTCGTGTTGTTTTTATGAAAGCTCCTTGTGAGTATCTTGTTTGAGAGACACTGATAAAGCTGGAAGCAGTGATCTTTGCCCGGCCTTTGGGTTTGTCTGTACGTACGCGGTCCTGTTCCCAGCAGGATTTGTCCTGGTATACAGGCAACAAAAAGGAGCATGAAAAATTATGCTCTTTGGGCTAAGCACCTTATTGAGCAGGATGTCTACCTCCTTGAAAGTGTGAGGTTCAGATTAACAGGGAATCATAGAATCATAGAAAATGAGGGTTTGAAGGGACCTCGGGAGGTCATCTGGTCCAACCCCCTGCTCAAAGCAGGATCATCCCCAACTAGATCATCCCAGCCAAGGCTTTGTCTATCCAGGTCTTAAAAAAACCTCCAAGGATGGAGATTCAGAAACCTCTCTGGGTAACTTGTTCCAGTGCTTTACTGCGCTCCCAGTAAGAGAGGTTTTCCTAATATCTAACCTAAACTTCCCTTGCAGCAACTTGTTCTTTCATCTGCCACCACTGAGAATAGTCCAGCTCCATTCCCTTGGGAACCCCCCTTCAGGTAGTTAAAGGCTGTTCTGTCTTCTCTTCTGCAAACTAAAGAAGCTCAGGTCCCTCAGCCTCTCCTTATCAGTCATGTTCCCCAACCCCCTTACTATTTTTGTGCCCTCTGCTGGACTCTTCAACGTGTCTACTGCATAGTTTGCACAGATGTATTCCATTCCATTCCATATATGATGATACCTTTACCCGAGGTATATGGAAGGGTATAGTCCATGGCCTCAAGCACAAAATAAGCTGCATATTTCTCTTTAAGAACCCTGTCTATATGTGAAATCTCTTCCTGCCAAAAGGGCCAAACTTAAACATGGAGCATTTTCCATCTCTCCTCCTCCCCAGTAGGATTTACTGCACATGCATATGCTGCATTGAGGGATTGGTTGGTTGTATGATGTTTAGATTGTCACTAGCCTTGCTTATTTGGCACTTTCTGGTGCATTATGACAGCACGGTCTTCTCCAATCTGGGCATTTCACATACACATTGCTAACATGTCCTCCAGATGCTCTCAGGTCACCATGCTGCCTGTTGAATGTTACAACGTCTCCATCTTACCATACATAGTTGTCTCTTTAGTTCTAAGGACCTGGTTCATATAATAACGAGTGATTATTGCACAGTTGTGCTGCTCTGGAACATATGCTGAATTTTGAAACGAGGGACTCCTTCCATACCGGTAGCCAACATGTACCATATGGCAACAAATATGTCCTTTCTGCATGCAGAAGACAGATTGAAATGTGGTACCAACTGAATATAACTTTGATTTTTGGGACTCTGTGCTACCATAAGAAAGGAAGATTTTTCTACAAGAGGTCACGAAAGTCATTGGATGAGAGTCCATTTCCCAGAGTTGTTTGATTTCTCAGGGACTCTACTTGTCACGTTTACAACCACTCAACCCTCTTAGAAAAAAGCTGTTTCCCCGATGGGATGGTCGTATATCAGGTTTTACCAAACCTAGAAGCATTCCT